AACTAATAACTTTAAAAGTTGATTACTAAATCTAATGGACTTAAAAAACATAACATTTATTACATACAAACCTACAATATAGTTGGGTAAAACCACAATAAAAAATTATATTTTCCTTCTACTGCGCAATTAAAGCATAAAGTCTCTATATTTATGTGTAATACATATCCCCCTTTAAAATCTATGATTAAACAATATATCTAACTCAGTTCATTCATTTTGATTTTTTTGGGATAAGTTTTACACAAGCTGAGTAGGTAGCCCAACGCAATGGCAACACAAAAATAACATATTATACTGCTATAAAATTAATTAAAAACAAAATGACAATATAGTTTAAAAAAACCGTAATAAAGACCTTCTATTTTACGACTTCTCAGTTATCCAACACACATGCCCATAAACTCTTGATTTGAACTCCTTTAAAATAAATTAGGATATTTTCTCCACATGGGATAAGTTTAATACAAGCTGAACAGGTAGCTCAGCACAATGTCAATACAAAAATGACACATTATGTTGCTATAAAATTAATTAAGATTATTTACCTTTTATATAAGGTGGTCATAATTCTTTACAACCGTTTGATGTGAAATTTAGATTAGATGTGTCACAAAGTTTGAGAAAATTTCTTTTGAAGTTTGAGCTTGGTAAATAGAATAATTGCAGCCACCTAATTTCACATCCAATGGTCACATCCAATGGTCAGGAATAATGGTCAAAAGTAAATGGTCTTATTCTATACTTTTCCGTGATAATGTAATCTAACAATACCATAATAAAGAACATCCAATTTACAACTTCTAATCTATCCAACACACATCCCCCTATGAACTCTATAATAAAACAATATGTCCAATTTATATAAACTTTGCATTCACTTTAATTTCTTTAAAATAAATTTCATACAAGTTAAGGGGGCAACAAAATATATGCCACAAAAATAATGACACACTGCACTAGTCTAGGAAGTAGTTTACTTGAGATTAAAACTACTTTAAAATAGTTTTAACACAAATTGAGCGGGTAGCACGACATAGTACCACCACGAAAATGACAAGTTGCATTGTCCTAAGCAATAATTTACTTATTATTGATTTAAAAATCTGCATTTTAGTAGAAATTGTATTAAAAAGCTATATAGTGTTGACTGACTAATTCATTAATGTAGGATAGTCATAAATTACTTTAAAGAATCCAATAATATAAATTTCGTACAAGTTAAGGGGGCAATAAAACATAGCGCCACAAAAAAAAAAAGATGCACTACTTTGCTCTAGGGAGTAGTTTACGTGAGATTAGTACTACTTTAAAATATTTTTAACACAAATTGAGCGAGTAGCATGATATAGTGCCAAATTAGAAGGCTTCTAATGAGGGTGTGGTTTACTTAAGGTTTAAACCTTCAACAATCAAAGTAAGTTGTACCATCAAATTTTATCATAAGATGTAATTTTAACGTAAAAAAATATAGGATGTCCTGAGAATCTATTTTTATTTCTAATTATAAAAAAATTTACTCAAAAAATGATTCAAATCAGGTAGATCTATAAACACATGAAAATATTGAAAATAGATGGTCTAAATAATTTGTTGCAAGAATGCACTATTTTTTAGACTCGAAATCTTTTTCTTTTCTTTTTTTTTCATATTCATACATCTCGATGTGGAAATCATCAATTAGAGGGTTTTCTAACTTCAAAAGAGTCTTTTACCATAGATTTTAAAAGTGCACCTCAATTCTACATTTTAAGGTTGCAACCTTATATAAAAAATTTTCTTTTAAATAAATTATAATTTTATTTGTTAATTTTAAGTAAAATAAAACTTAGAATAATACAATTCATTATGCTTCCGGTGTTGATTTATTGTGTTGCCAGCTCAATTTGTGTGATGAGTTGGTGTCAACCACAAGTGGTACTAAAAACACCAAAGGGAAGGTAATAACATAATTTTTTTACTATAAGAACATGTAAGAACAATGCATGTAACTTATATTGAATCATAACAAACCTAACTTAGTAACTTTATAATTTGACTGATAAGTTGTTATTATACTTATAAAAAAATAATAATAGATTAAGATTCAAAGTTGACATTCAATTGATAATAATATTAAGTAAATAAATTGCTGCTTAGAACAGTAATACATATCATTTTTGTGGTGGCACTGTTAGGCTTATGTGGCCTTTAAAAGCCTTATGAATGATTGTAATAAAATATTTAATATAGTGGAATATAAACTCAGTAGGAGTGTGGTCCCTCGTGGACCATACTAAGCAAACGATGTTTGCTGATACATGACTGTGCTTGACGGTCTAGGCCAGTCGGTTGGGAAAAACCCATGTTACCTAGGCATAGAGTATAAATAGCTAAGGGTTCTAATGGATCATCCCTTGATGAAGTCGGAGTATGCCCGGATAAGTGAGTCAAAGGACTGTGTGACCCTTGTGTGTGATGGTGGCCTTCAGAGATAGGGGCTAAAATCTCATCCATGTATCATCACACAGCATGCATATTGATAGACCATTTCGAGAAAGCAAAGCGTATGCATGTGTGAGAGATACCCATATGCGTCATAGAAGTTGTGGTCGCATCAAGTCTAGGTGACATTGGCTCGTCTCTAGGGGAGGACCTGAAATCCACATACTAGGAGTGCTACCCCTTGGCTCATCTGCCAAACTTTGGTGAACCACTAATGAGCCTCTGCATGGATTGTGGGTCATGTGAAACACTGGGTCAGTCTGATAAAGTAAGTGTGGTCTGTAGTGCACAGTTGAAGGTGAAATGCTCCCTGATTGTTAATTCCTAAGACATATGGATCATTTTCTCATCATATAAGTTTAATTATGTTTGTTATATGATAAATATTATTTTAGAATTATTATTTGAATTTTTATAAATCTCTAGATATATTTTATTTATATGGTTGGAATATATTGATTAAATATTGGCTAGATATTGATTTGATATATTTTGAAAGATTTTGTGGAAGTATGAGAAGGTTTGTATTATTTTATGGTATACACAATATTTTGATTGGATTTAATTTATTTAATTTATATTGATAGGAAAGTAGTTTTAAAAAGGGGGATAATGGTTCATGAATCTTCTATAAAGTTGATGACTCATCTATGGAATGGATGACTCAGATCTCTCACCCATAAGTCACTATTAATCAACAGTCCATGTTCAGTCTCACTGAAGAGACAAACTATGAAAAACCCTAGACCTAATTTTTTTTATAAATAGAGGACATCCCCTCCTCTATTCTCTACACTCTCTAGCCTCTTCTCTCTCCTAACCCATGGAGGGGACATACCCCAATCCAAAGATATCTCTCATCTTGATTAAACCTAAAGGTTGGGTAGTAGAGGATAAGCTCAACTAGGTTTTTGGAAGTTTAAACCTAGGTTCAAAGATTTGTGATAAAAAAGGGGAGTTTATAGTTCCATAAAAAAGTTTGGCATAAAATTACTTTTTCAATTGAGTTTGAAGCTAAGTCGTCGATCCCGCACCATCAGATGGTGGTGATTCGATATGAGATGTAATAAGCTCGAATAACGTAATCTCGGGCACTCTCAAACATAAGAAGTAGCATCAAGATTTTTAAGATCTTGGATTTGTTAGTTTTATTTTATGTGAAGCTAAAATTATTGTAATAAAACTATTTGTTGTGATTTTTGCCAAAAGAAAAAAAAAATAGATGAAAAAAAAATAATAAAATACATATCCCCCGACAATATCACATTAGTATTTCGGGCACTACGGTACGTTACTCGTACAACTTGTGTTATCATTTAAAAAAAAGAAATAATCTTAACAAAATCACTGCTTCAAGCAATGTAAAGCGTCACTTTTGTGATGCCACAACTTGGTATTGATTTAAAAACCTATATTTTAGTAGAAATCGTATTGAATAGCTATATACTATTGACCGATTAATTCATTAAGGGCAGATAGTCAGAAGTTACTTTAAAAGATCCTATACTACTCTTATTAATTTTCATAGATAGAAAATTATTAATTTTCATAGATAGAAAATGCTAATCCTCAAAATTCTATTAATTTACTTTTCACAGTTTTTTTTTAACCTGAAAAAAAAAATTAAAATAAAACCATAAAATACAATTCGAAATAGAAAAGACATAATTAGACAGAAAAACTTAGATTGATATTACAATTGCAAAATATACATATAATTACATATAGACGACTTATAGAGAGAAAACAAGTATTTAGCAATTAAATAAATAACATGTTCAAAATATAGTAAGAGAAAGAAAAAAATACGATTAAAAAATTAACAAATATATTTAATTCATATCACATGAGAAGCACGTGCACTGTCAGTATATTTATAATTTATATATTTTTTGGTTACATATATTCATAAATTATAACCCCCGAACCTTGAATCACTCATTCTGGAGACAAGTTGAAATTTCCTGATAGGATTCCCTCAGTCCCCCAAAATTATAATTTGAATTTGAAAGCCACATGTGGGCCTGTTTGGTCGGTATAATTCAAGCTTGATAAGTTGATAGTTCCCGCCCCGGGGTTGGGAGTAGAGAGTTGCATAAACCTAAAAAATAGCAGCAGAGATAACAGGCAGGCAAAAAGTGAAACTAGAATTTTCTGATCATTTTTGATTGATTGGGTTACTACCATGTCCAAGTGAATATACAGAGAGAGAGAGTGAGAGTGAGGGACTCAGTGATCAACATAGAAGGGAGCAGAGAGAGTGTCCATAACAGCAAACTGCATATTCTCAGATGGTTTCCAATGGCGCTTTCGCTGATTTATGAACCAATTGTTAATCTGCTTCTGATCGAGCCCTGTCGACTCCGCCAAAGCTATCTTATCAGATTCCTGCACATTACACAACAAAAGTGAGCAATACAAAAAACAGATTCACTTTCATAAGACAATGAGTCGCTTTCCAAAAAACCTATGAGAAAACTTAAAATTTCTTTCAAACTGTCGCTTGCTTTCATCTTACATCAAATCTTTTCTGTTTTTCTTTGTAGCAGTAAATCTTATCTCCCCTCTGCCCGCACGAGGGAGAGAGCCCTTTGTCTGCTTGTGCGTAGGGCTGGTAATGGGCTGGGCCGGGTCAGTGTGGCCCTAAAAAATAAGGCGGCTGCACCACATACTGTGGCTTGAGGCCCGGCCCAGGACTGGACAAACCCGTTTGCCACATTATTTATACGTGAGAAGGGAGAAGGGGGTAGGCCTTTTGTGAAAAAGAGCAATTTGAAAAATGATTCAGTTTTGTCATTTGAAATTGACTAGAAAGATCCAAAACATTTGGAATATGGCGCCAACTTTTGCATCATAAAAGCTGAACCTTTTCCGAGTGAGAGAAAAAGGATAAGGAAATGAAGTTCAAAGAATCCTCGACCGTAGGATATGGCCATTTGTAGTGGATATTCCACCAGTCCAATAAGGTTTGCCTAGCTTCTTTGGGCAGCTTCCCTTTCTTCTTCTTCTTCGAAAACTCTTGCTTGAGACTGCTCAAATACCCACTGTATTTCCTCAGAAGCTTGTCTTTCAGCTCCCTATCCTCTCCCCTTGACCGCGTCTCCTGTAAATCAATCTCCCCACCGCTCAATTCATCATCAGATGATCCAGCTAGTTCGTCTACAGGGATCCAAAAATTAAGAAACCAAGAAGGCAAACTTAGGGAACAGATGAAGGAGAATTAAAATAATACATAGAGAAAACGAGGAAAAAGAAAATGAATGGTAAAAAGCTTGAATAAAAATATTCATCATTATCATCGTCCAAGCATTATTCCAACCATTAGAATAGAGAAAAAATTTCTATGTAGATAAATTAAAGGAAAAGTTCCTATAAGGTTGCAACCTTAAACTATAGAATTAAATTGCACCACAAAAATCCATCATAAAAAGCTATTCTTTATATTGGAAAAATATTGGAAAACCGTCTAATTGATCATCTCGATATCGAGATGTATGGATATGAAAAACAAAAGATTTTAATGTCCCAAAAATTATACATCTTTCAACATGTTATCTAGAAGTCCATTTTCAAGATTTTCATATGTTTATAGATCTACTTCATTTGAATTATTTTTAAAATTTAAAATTATATAATTAAAAATGAAAATAGATTCCTAAGCCATCCTAAGAATTTTTGATGAAAAATTACTGCCTTGTGATAAAATTTAAAGGTGCACCTTATTTCGTTCGTTTACAAATTGCAACCTTACGTAGACCGCACCCCAAATTAAAAATCGACCCAAAATGAAATAAAATGACCGACATAGCCAGAGTAAGTACAAAAAAGAAGATAACCAATAATAGAGGGGTGCGGTTTGTATAGAGCCTAAGCTCTAAACAATCAAAATAGACCCTACCTTCAAATGGTGTCGAGAAATGTGGTCTTGATACTGAAAAATCTGTGATAGCCTAAAAATATAATTTCATATTTATTTACAAATTTTAAAGTCTCAAAAATAGTATAGTTCAACATATCTACAAAAACATGGAAGTCTTGAAAATTGACAGTCCAAAAATGAGTTACAAAATATACTATTTCCAAGACTTGAAATCCATTTTTTTTTTTTGTTCATGCATCTTGATGTCGAGAGATGATCAATTTGAGAATATTTGAGCATCAAAACAACCTCCTCTAGTGAAAATTTTGAGGTAAGCACTATTTTGATTGTCTAGAGCCTCAACTCTATTTAAACTTTTCCCATAATAGAGTTAAACACATGACTTGAAACCAAATTCATGGGAGTTGTAATTTACTATTTGGTGCCATTCAAAGAATGAGACATGCGGCAGCACATGCTTTAACAATTTGTACTCTCGGCAAAATGGCATGAGAAATAAACAAGGAAATTTAGATAGAAATTACAAAAACAAGCAAAGGTACACACGACTTAAAATCAACAAAAACGGAATCCTCTCTATAACATAAAAGGGAATGTATGTCATAGCCATACACCATGACTGCATGTCATCTGTACCATCATTACAGTTAATCATACATGGCATGAAAAACCCCTCTCATCCATGCATGAACGCACAACATACACATATGAGATGTATAAACACATGCATGCATACATTCAAAATACATATACACATGCAATGCATGTGACTTTCGGTCGACACCCTAAAACTTGGGTCGCGACCCTAAAACTTCGGTCGCGACGAAATTTCCGGGAATTTCCCTTTCGAATTGGAAATTAAAAAAAAAAAAAAAAAGAAAAAAGAAAAGGGGACGAATAAATTGTACACCGGACCAACAGGGGTAAACCCCAATAGGAACGTGACACGTGGATAGTCAGAGCATACGACACTTTACACGTCATTTCGATTTGACGCTCGCCGTCAAGCTAAACGGTGACCCGAAGTAAAGGGGTCATCACCGTCAAACTCTCCGTTTGTCCCCATTGTCCGTACGAACGTCAAATCACGGCGGCGTTCGGCCAGCTATTATCTGAGCTCGCGAGTGAGACTGCAGTTAAAATCCAGTGAAAATATCGTTCTCGAGAAAATAAAAATAAAAAAAGAAAAAAGAATTAAAGAAATTTAAAAGTGAAAAACCTTAAATCGTGTGGTATAAGCAGTAAACAGAAGTGGGCAGGCCCAAGGACCCGGGCGATCGACACGTGTCGCCACGTCAAATCGTGAGGTAGAGAGAGAAAGACGGTCTCCCTCTCTCTGACACGGCCTCGCTTCGAAGGCGCAGAGGCAGGCGGAGTGAGTGAGTTAATAAAGCTGCCGCAGCGAAAAGAGCGGGAGTTCCTGTATTTAATGAACTAATTAATTCTTCCAATAATACCCCTACACACTACTTGACATTTCTACCATACCCACATAAAAGGTTTTCCATCTTTTACGCCTTTGGCATTACTTTCGTGTCGCTTCTTTTTTCATACCAATCAAATGGCTATCTTTTTTTTAAAAATAAATAAATGCTTTTTTAAGGTAAATGCTTCCTTTCTGAGAGGAAACTGCCCCATACAAAAAAAGACAATCAAATACTCAGCATGCAAATACTGGTTTTGCAACGATTTTAGACGTAGGTTAATTTCCCCAATTAGGGTAACACTGTGGGTGAGGCAATGAAAGATAATGGCTAGCTAGCATATCCACCCAAGTGCTCCATAATGGTGGCAATGGCCGGGCTTGGGCGTCCCCAGCTTTGGCCCTGCCTGGCACTTATCCCCATAAACAAAAGGAGTCGGGCCAAACAAGGCCCCGCATTAACCGTAACCAGCCTCAGGCCGCAAGAAGTTGCCCATGCCCTACTCTTTTAAAGGCCCAGTCTGGTCCGGTCCATTGCCAGCCCTAGTGCTTGAGTGGGCAGAGCCAGAAAAAGGGTTACGTGGGTAACTGGAAATATGGTGGTTTATCATGTTCCACAACAATGCATGCATTGTCCTTTATTAAAGCTCTCCATTTGATGGTAATATCAACAATGGAGTAAATGGGAAAAAGACAACAAACCAAAATTAAATGCTGAACACACATTTGTTGTGTGAGATAGTAGTACTCGGGAAAGAAATCTTGCCCAGGTGAAATCTAAACAAGGAAATGGTACCAAGAAAAGCTACAAGTCAAGAAGCATTTCACCAAAAGCTACAGTCAAGAAGCAATTCACCAATCAGCATGACAGTACAATGAGATACACTTACCATACCAGCAATTCCAAATATTAGCTATGCAGGGGTAAAGAGCAAACCGGAGAACATGACATCTGCAAACAGTAAGTTACATGTAGCTTCAAAGCAGTTAAGAACATTGATATTGATTTTGAGTGGACACATATGGATCTGAGCTAACAGATGATCCATTTCAACCATCTGTTGCCTACACACTTGCTTGCATTTTTAGCACACAGGTAGTATGCTATGCGTACAATGTAGTATGCTGCATTTGCCGAATACAATATCAACCTCTGAAAGTAACAAAATCAAAACAAGGAAGCGCGGGAAACCTCAAAACTTCAATGGAAGAGGTAACCCCTCGTCCCAACTCTCAAGAGCAGGCGCAAACAATGGACCGAATCCTCTGATCCATTGCCTATCCTGAACAATGCCACTCACAAAAAAAGCTTAAATCGATTGCTATAACCTAAAATCCATAATTGCTTGTGCGCGGTTTATGTACAGCTCTACCTTAAAAAAGAAAAGAAAGGAGCACCTCCAAATCTAAAATGCTATTGTGATGTAAAAAACTCTTGCAATTGGCTAAATATCTGTTTCCACCCCTAATAACGAAACATAAAGCTCCAAAAATGGCGTAGATTCAGATCTATAAATACATAAAAATCTTAAAAATAGATAATCCAGATAGTATTCCACAAGATGCACTATAACTTGAAATCCTGTTCTTTTTCATATTCATACATCCCAAAAATTAGATTGAAGCATAGAGTATACCTAGCTTTCTCACTTGGCGAGCACATCCGATTGTAAGAAATTGCGAACATTGACATGGGACGGATAATCAATGGTTCGAAGACGCCCGTGGCCATCCCTTTTTCGTTCCCTTAGTGCCACGGGAAAAAAAAAGCTCACAGCAACAATAACTGAGATACCTCCAGAATCCTACTGAGACTTCTTTTGTTGAACAAGCAAAGCCACACATCTTTGGATTGTTTCTTGCAAAAATTCAATGCTATTCTCTCCTGTAAGAGATCAAGAATCCAGAAAACAGAGAAAACCGTTCTTCCAAAGCATTGTAGCAGCTATAGCCATGCGAGTTTCATAGGAATGGAGTAGTCACAATCATGGCTAGCATCTGTAGCCAATAGTTACTCGTACTACTTATTGCACTCGCTATAGTCCATGTTTCGGTATCAAAACTACAAACAGATATTGGTCCGTCTTCGGAATCGTAGCTACCAAGACTTCCTTTAGCTACCTATAGCTACCTATACTTCCTTTAGCTACCTAGAGCTACTAGCTCCATGGTACCAAAAATGTATCAGGGCTTTTCAGAAGATCCTAAGGTCTTATACCCCAAACAGATTGAGCATGAGTGTCTCTTTGGGAACAAGATAAGCACTTGAAACATTGACCAAACAATAAATTAGAATCTGCAATGTATGCCTTTGTTTTTTGAGGGGAGCTTCTTTTCTGGCCCTTTTCTTGCAATGAGCTGAAAATCTATTTCCACCCCTAATAACAAAACATAAAGCTCCAAAATGGCATAGATTCAGTTCTATAAATGTTTAAAAATTCTTAAAAATAGATGATCCAAATAATATTCCACAAGATGCACTATGACTTGAAATCCTTTTCTTTTTCATATTCACACATCTCCAAAAGTCAAGATGATCAATTGGAGCCTGTTCCAATATCAAAGCAACCTTTTCCAATTGAGTTTTTGAAGTGGAGCTCACTCCAAGAGTATAAAGTTGGCACCTTATATAAACTTTTTCCCACGCAAAATTAGCACCCAACCACAAAATCTAAACCTTTTCTCCTATGCTAAAATCTTCTATAAAACCTAGATATTCGATGATTTCATAGTACCACATTTCATCACACCTGTATATACATAATCCCAACGAAATATATAAATAGATTTTTTGTGATGAGACTTCACCTTCTTTCTGGCACCATGCACCTCGCTCCCCATAAACAAAGTTCACAA